TATGATTTTCATGATTAATTTTAATTCAACAATCTAATGAATTTTATCTTCATTTTCTTTCAACATAAGTCGCGGTGATAATTATTATTTGAATCATTAAGAAGAGTTTTAACGTCTTATCATAGTTCTAGTTAATGAAATAAATGCAATTTTCGACGCCGTCACTTCTAAAAATTGATAACAATTAAATTATCTCATTAAGAGTTATATTATTTTAATATTTAAATAAAGCAGAGATTATCTCATTCTTTATTAATAACATTTTAAATTATAGTAGAAAAATCTGAGTAAGTAATTAGAATTTTCTCATGAACTGCTTCATTTGATATCGTACTGTTAAATTTATAAACATGCATATCAAATGATACAGGTATTAATTTATGATAAACTAAACTAGAATTATCAATAATAAACGCAAGTTTAGAGATTAAAATCTGTTTGTTTATAACTTTTGTCCTAGTAAATAGCTTAACAGCAACTAAAAATTTACGATAAGCAAGAGGAGGATCAATGTTATCCATACAGATGCGTGTCATCACAAGTAAGTTCTTACAATAATTTAATGACTAATTAAGATATATTCATCAAAAACAAAAGTTTTAAAAGGTTTTCTTTATTGTTTAGATATTCGTGAATGTGATACAGAATAGGCATTAATATTGTTGATTTATTATTGTATACAGCCGGATGGTATTACGATAGCTGATAGCATTGATGTGGACATTCACGATATCATGGTGCATCATTAATCGTGACAGATGACATCATTATGGTATCACGACCTCACTACACTCCGGTTAATACCATATTACCGTTAACATAAACAAAATATCGACCCGAACATCTTTGAAAGGTTGAAAATGGCTAAATATAATAAATGGTGATGATCCGCTTGAGTGGGTGTTTAAAAGTTGAATTTTGATGCTTTAGAAAGTAGTGAACAGTAAAAATATGAGTAGGAAGATTTAAATAAATTGAAATTTTCTGTAGAAACTTTTTAAATGTTTAAATCTCATCAACAAGTTCGGAAATGAGCCAAAGTTTGAAGATTTCTTGAACATCACTGTCAAACAAAATTCTAAATGTTTTAATGAGTGTCAGCTCGTATCATGATCATTAATTAACTGGTACTAATGATAATAAACACATTTATTCACTAATATTACTCTTTAAACTTTATTATCCTTAACATAAACAAAATGTTGACTTGAATATCGTCGAAAGAATGAAAATGGTTGAATCTGATAAATGATAATTTGATTGAATAGATTTATTTTTTATTTTAAAAAAGCAGTCACAACAAAAAACCTGAGAGAGTTTTGTGAAATATTCCATAATTTCAGTCCCATAAACAGGCTTTCAGCTATGTCAAATAAATTTTGCAGGTTTGTCAGACATCACTTAAGAAAAATTTTAAAAGTTTTAATTAATTCAAGCTCGTATCACGTTGCTTAATTATCGAACATCAATATGAATTAATATATTTATTCATTATGCTCTCGTTAATACCGTAATTAGCATTTAATATAAACAAAATATCATCTTTGAAAGGATAAAAACTGCTGCTTGATAAATGATGAAAAAGCAGCTGAAAAGCTATTATACAAAAAACAAATTTTAATATTTTATAAATCTGTAAACAGTGCAGAATTATGGACAAAGATAAAACAAAGTAGACTTTTACTATAAAGAACTACTAGAGCATTATAGTTCCATAAATAGGCCCAGGAAAAGCTTAATCTGATTGGATTACTGTAAAGAAGATAAGAGAAAAACTAATAAACTCATATCACAACGCTTAAGTATCTGATATTAATGTTAATAAAAGCATTTATTTTCAATTTTATTTTAAATCTTTATAGATAAACTATAGCTTACAGACTGGTAACCGAACAGCAAATAATTATCGATCGGAAAATAAATTCTATTTCAGTTTTATCTTCGAAACTTTTTGGAAAAACTCTCGAGAAACAAACCGAATTCTTATCGAGGGACGTGTTATGGGGGATTTTTCTTCTCATTTAACTTCCTATGACTATCTGTCGATCCTCCTACAAATACTTATCGACTTATCGACTATTTTCTTCTTTTTTTCTTTATTTTTCTGTCAAGAAGATCAGCAATAAAATAGATTTTTTATTGCTTTCAGCTATGTTTAGTCGGCAGTTATATTCTTTTACTTTACCTTATAGAACGTAATATCGATGAAGTTACCTTCTTTTACTATAAAAATTGGATATATTTCTAGTTAGATGAATAAATTTTCAGCTTTTTGATTCGTTTTTCTTTAGAGTAGTAAATGTAATATTTGATGTTAGATATTCATCTTTCATTTGTATGAGTAGAGAAGTAAATCCGTTCAAACGTGAGACGAATGCTTAAGATTACGGCTATTTTTCAAGTTAAAAAATCAGTTGTTTATTTTAAAAATATCTTTTGTGTATTCTGAATATAATAAATGATCTTACGGAGAAAAATATTATTTTGTGTATTCGGCCATTTTTGTTTTTTTCGTGAGTTATTTTCTATGATGTTTCGGATGAATAACGACTCGTAACGTTAATATAGCATCCCAAATGTATAGATTTTTACTTAAATTAGAGTATAGTAAAACAATCTATTTAATCTTTTTAATGCTTAAAACATTATAAATTACTATTTTTATCATTAAAAACTGTAAAGTAATGATAAGAACTACGAAAAAATGTACATATTTTATATATTCTATCACTTGATTTAAAGTCGGAATTTAAAATAAAAACGGATTTTTATGAATTTCTGTTAAGGTTTTATTGCTATATTCATGAAGTTTTGCATGAAATTTGGATATTTTTTAGTCTTAGAAGATATTTTTATACATATTTTATATATTTTTATAACATTTTTTAAGCTATCTTTTTATAAAATAATATAAAACGCATAGTGAAGTTTATATCCTAATAAAAAGTTATATTTTTTTACTATTTCTCCCACCTTACTGATAAAACATAAAAGTAAATTGTGCATATCTAAATAAAACTAGAATAGAAAAAGAAAAATAATGAAGAGTAAGAAAAATAATGAAGAGTAAGAAAAATAAAATAAAAAATTTCAAATAATTTTTTTTAAGTTGATGGATTATGAATTGGCAAAAATCCAAACAAGATTTCAATTGAATGTATCTTCAATAAAAATCAAATTTTGGTTGTCTCTCTTAGCGGCGCATTTCCTCTTACAGATTTGATGTTATGGATTCCCTTTAAGTAAAAATCAAAATAGAAAAGACGAGAAATTTATCATGCCAATTTTTATGCCTTTTTTTTCGGTTGTTTTGGATAAAAACTGCACATAAAATTAAATTTATCTACTAGCTTAGTAAAATGCTATAAACGAAAATAAATTTTGTTATATTTTTTAAAGAAATTTGTATAAGAAAAAATCATGACGTTGATATCATGTCTCCTGGTTGTTTGGCTTGAAAATATTCAACGAAAATCGTATAAAGTTTGCGTTAAATAATATATTTAAATGTGTATTTTAGCTCTAAATGATTGTTTATGTGATTATTTAATTAAATACTATATAAATTTTAATCGAAAATTACTGATTTTATTTATTATAAATAACTGTTCGTCGAAATTCACATCGATTTTGTGTTGAATAATATATTTTAATATGCATTTTAGCTCAAATAATCGTAAAAACAATCGACTAAATTTTAAAAAAATGTATAAAATAGAAAATATTTCAGTAAAATTTATTTCATTCGTTGTAAAATTCCATAAATATTGCAGAATTTTATGGCGGAGACAGAAAAATGAACAAGTAATGATAAAATTCCGTGATTTAAAAACATTTTTAAAGTAAAATATATTCGATTTTCTAAATCGAAGATAACATTCAAATATCAAGAATTAATTCTATAATTTTAGTATATATTTAATAAATAAAATTAATTAATTTTAAGCATTTTTACTTCTACATAATGCGCTTATATAGTGCTTGAAACTAACATAGAGTAACCAAGGAGGATTAAGAGGCTAAAACCATTTTAAAAATATAATTTTAATTTAAAAAAAAAAGAAAATTTTATTTTAATTTAAATATAATTTTTTTTTTGCTCTAAAAACGATCCATGTTAATAAGATATGTACAGTACAAGTACTATAATTTATTTGTTAACCCCCTAGTCAATTTAATCCCTGGCTACTCCACTGATAACTTACAAGTCTAGAATGAACGTTTCTCTTTAATAAACATCTGGAAGAAAATTAGAAAATATTCAGATACAGTCGAGTTAATATAGAAAATTCGGTAGGAATCACATCACAAAAATTCATCATACTTTAAAAAGGTCACGATTTAGACGATGGAGTAAATGGGAAAGTATCGTGATTGAGGAATATTTTATTAAGGGGAGTGCACCATCGACTTCTTAAACTAAAATTTAATCTTATCAATCCTTTAATCTCAGTTGCGTTGTTGAATCCCGTTTATGATAATGAAGTGCTTTATGACAGAAAAACTCTAGTCACGCTATTTTCCACTCACTCCCGTTCCACGAATATCATCTTTATATTAAAATTCATCTTATATTCGTTGATTAATAATATCAAATTTCCAATTTGTTCGCTCACTTTGATCTAAAAAAAGTAAAAACAATTTTCTTTTCGCACTTTCACTCCCTGTCCTCAAGTTTGAACTAATCTGTTTGAGATTTTCGTGAAAAATTCTTCAAGTTTAAACTAATTAATTAATTATTTTAAAGTAATTNAATTATAAAAATTGTAATAATTTTACATAAATATACATGAAAAATTTATTATTAGTTAAATTTCTATGAATAGCCTAGTTACTTAATATAATAAATTTCAAGCCTTAAAAGCATATTATTGATGAAGGAGAGAGTCACTTATATATTAGATTACACTTTTAATAGAGATACTTCTCATTAAATAGCGAGGAAACGTCACTTACGTAACCACGAGTATATAATACATAATTTCTTTTTGAAGATGGAGCAAGGCTCCTAGTAACTGGAGACTCTAAGCTATTTAACTTGTTTGTAAATCTCACCTTGATTTTTAAAGAAAAAAATAGTTGTAAGTATTGATATAAGCCTAAATATTTTATATAACCTTAACATTTATTGTTAATCTATATAAAAGTATGGATGATATTTAAAATATGTTCTATATCCAACTGTATCAAATTAGTTATGCAACACTTACAGTACTTACTACTTAATTCGATATAGCGGATGTATAACTTACTCGAGCATTTACTCATAACATCCGCTATATAAAAACTACAAAAAAGCCCTTAACTGTACGGAATTCATGCAAAAAGACTATTTTTAAATCATAATTTTAACCCAATTGAGGTTGAATGTGACCTTGAAAGAGTTTCTACACCGATAAAATTTCACATTTGAATAATGCATTAAAAAAGAAAATATAATCATCTAAAAATATATACATCCGGTTTCGGTGCTTCTAGAGCCTATAAAATTGTTAGTTTTCGTGTAATTTTATACTTAAATTTACCAAAAAAACAGGTAAATTTTCTCTGCTCCTTTGAAAATTGTATGATACTCGAGAATATTGTTAAAGTTATTAAATTAATGCCTTGCTTGTAACTTACTCTTTAACAATAAGATTAATGATGAATGATACATTTCTAGTTTTGTCACAATAATTGTAATTTTCAGCTTGAAGTATTATTTTCTTGGAGCAGTGTAAATGTTAAAAGAATCTTTCGCTAATTTTCCAATAATTCAAATGCACTTCTCTAACCTAATTTGTCTCGATGTAGTGGAATAAAATTAATTTAATCTACATTCTCACGAAAACAGATTCGTTACGTATTAACTACGAGCTATATGCGGAGAAGAATGGAGAAAAAAGTAATTTCTATCCCATTTTGTCTAGAGTTAATGCTGTTTTCTTATGCTTTTAGTAATCTTGTACGAAACTATTAGAAGGAAAATACTTTTTGAACACTTATCTGAAGTGTAAAAAGAGAATTTGAAAGAGTATACGCTTTAAAAAATAAAAAAAAAATAGAATTGTAAAAAGATATTTTTCATTTAATGGCACTGTTTTCTGTAGTTTCGCCAGAAATAGTTCTACAGAAGTGTTACGAGAAGTATTATATATATATATATAGAAAAACTACAGCAATACTCAAAAATCGCAATAGTTTTAATGCTGCTTCTGCCATTTTCAAATAAATAAGAAAATAATCCTATTTATAAAATAAATAGTCCTATTTTCGTGAATTTTTATAGCTTATTTTGATGGCTAAATAGTCAAAAACTCGTTTTTTTTATCCATTCAAATTATTCATTATTACATTTAGTAGAAAATTTAAAATTTTGTTATACCTGAAAAATATAATAAAGTTTATATTAATTTAATATAATATATAGCTTTTAATTATAAATTAATTATAAGAAATAATCTAACAAAGGTGTTCTTACTGAACAAAGATTGTAACAAGAGGAAAATTAATAAAGTATAATAATTCAATGTTCATTTTTTGTTTAATTATATTAAAAAGTAATATAAAACATTGATTTTTTAATATTATTAGATGTTTAATTATATAATATAATATGTAAAAAGCCAATATATAAATCAATATCACTTGAAGAAATATCAAAGGTTATCAAAAATCAATATCATATCACTAAGAGATCGATAAAAAAAATCAAGTAGTTTATATAAAAATAAAGGAATATTTTAATTAATTTTTTAATATTAAATTTTTAAGAAAAATTATATAATCAACAAAGATAATGTAATCAGTAATTAAAGCTTTGCATCAAAATATGAAGGGATAACGACGAAATACGATATTTAAATATGATACTCATTATCTCTTCTTTTTGGATACTTCTAGACACGTGAATGAGCTTAAAATAAATTATAAATTAAATATATTATACATAACGTTAAAAGTTTAATTATAATTTATGTTGTAGTCGTATACAAAATGTTTTATAGGGAAGTCCATTGCAAGGGATGTAAGAGGATTGATATTTATAAAAATATTTCTGATAGATTAATATTATTAAAGAAAAGTTGATGGATGTTTGTAAAATACTCGACTCTTGGCTATTGATATAGCAACATATGAAAGAAATCTTTAAAATAATCCATCTCAGAGGAGAGTTTTGATGTTATTGGAAAGCATAATTTTTTACAAAGATAGATATACCATTTTAAGTTGACAAGTAACAAAGACGCAGATAAAATAGATGAGAAAAAAAGAGTTTCGTCATTTCATATCCCATCCATGGAAAGAATTTAATGGAAGAGGATATGATGGGTTTGGCAGATAAATCAGGAAAAATCCCTTCTTATCCATAACATCCTAAGATAGAAACTCAGAGGAAGATAAGTTAATGGACTCCGGAGGATTTAACTAGACTTTAAAATTTTGGAGAATTGGAAATTCTCATTAAATTAATTTTCTATCGATCCATTTCGTGAAAGGAGAATTTTAATTAAGTTGTAAATTAATATTCATAAGCGTTCGATTTATATCATAAACGTTATTAAATATAGAAGTGATATAATACTTTTTTACGGAAATTAAATTATGATTTTCATGATTAATTTTAATTCAACAATCTAATGAATTTTATCTTCATTTTCTTTCAACATAAGTCGCGGTGATAATTATTATTTGAATCATTAAGAAGAGTTTTAACGTCTTATCATAGTTCTAGTTAATGAAATAAATGCAATTTTCGACGCCGTCACTTCTAAAAATTGATAACAATTAAATTATCTCATTAAGAGTTATATTATTTTAATATTTAAATAAAGCAGAGATTATCTCATTCTTTATTAATAACATTTTAAATTATAGTAGAAAAATCTGAGTAAGTAATTAGAATTTTCTCATGAACTGCTTCATTTGATATCGTACTGTTAAATTTATAAACATGCATATCAAATGATACAGGTATTAATTTATGATAAACTAAACTAGAATTATCAATAATAAACGCAAGTTTAGAGATTAAAATCTGTTTGTTTATAACTTTTGTCCTAGTAAATAGCTTAACAGCAACTAAAAATTTACGATAAGCAAGAGGAGGATCAATGTTATCCATACAGATGCGTGTCATCACAAGTAAGTTCTTACAATAATTTAATGACTAATTAAGATATATTCATCAAAAACAAAAGTTTTAAAAGGTTTTCTTTATTGTTTAGATATTCGTGAATGTGATACAGAATAGGCATTAATATTGTTGATTTATTATTGTATACAGCCGGATGGTATTACGATAGCTGATAGCATTGATGTGGACATTCACGATATCATGGTGCATCATTAATCGTGACAGATGACATCATTATGGTATCACGACCTCACTACACTCCGGTTAATACCATATTACCGTTAACATAAACAAAATATCGACCCGAACATCTTTGAAAGGTTGAAAATGGCTAAATATAATAAATGGTGATGATCCGCTTGAGTGGGTGTTTAAAAGTTGAATTTTGATGCTTTAGAAAGTAGTGAACAGTAAAAATATGAGTAGGAAGATTTAAATAAATTGAAATTTTCTGTAGAAACTTTTTAAATGTTTAAATCTCATCAACAAGTTCGGAAATGAGCCAAAGTTTGAAGATTTCTTGAACATCACTGTCAAACAAAATTCTAAATGTTTTAATGAGTGTCAGCTCGTATCATGATCATTAATTAACTGGTACTAATGATAATAAACACATTTATTCACTAATATTACTCTTTAAACTTTATTATCCTTAACATAAACAAAATGTTGACTTGAATATCGTCGAAAGAATGAAAATGGTTGAATCTGATAAATGATAATTTGATTGAATAGATTTATTTTTTATTTTAAAAAAGCAGTCACAACAAAAAACCTGAGAGAGTTTTGTGAAATATTCCATAATTTCAGTCCCATAAACAGGCTTTCAGCTATGTCAAATAAATTTTGCAGGTTTGTCAGACATCACTTAAGAAAAATTTTAAAAGTTTTAATTAATTCAAGCTCGTATCACGTTGCTTAATTATCGAACATCAATATGAATTAATATATTTATTCATTATGCTCTCGTTAATACCGTAATTAGCATTTAATATAAACAAAATATCATCTTTGAAAGGATAAAAACGGCTGCTTGATAAATGATGAAAAAGCAGCTGAAAAGCTATTATACAAAAAACAAATTTTAATATTTTATAAATCTGTAAACAGTGCAGAATTATGGACAAAGATAAAACAAAGTAGACTTTTACTATAAAGAACTACTAGAGCATTATAGTTCCATAAATAGGCCCAGGAAAAGCTTAATCTGATTGGATTACTGTAAAGAAGATAAGAGAAAAACTAATAAACTCATATCACAACGCTTAAGTATCTGATATTAATGTTAATAAAAGCATTTATTTTCAATTTTATTTTAAATCTTTATAGATAAACTATAGCTTACAGACTGGTAACCGAACAGCAAATAATTATCGATCGGAAAATAAATTCTATTTCAGTTTTATCTTCGAAACTTTTTGGAAAAACTCTCGAGAAACAAACCGAATTCTTATCGAGGGACGTGTTATGGGGGATTTTTCTTCTCATTTAACTTCCTATGACTATCTGTCGATCCTCCTACAAATACTTATCGACTTATCGACTATTTTCTTCTTTTTTTCTTTATTTTTCTGTCAAGAAGATCAGCAATAAAATAGATTTTTTATTGCTTTCAGCTATGTTTAGTCGGCAGTTATATTCTTTTACTTTACCTTATAGAACGTAATATCGATGAAGTTACCTTCTTTTACTATAAAAATTGGATATATTTCTAGTTAGATGAATAAATTTTCAGCTTTTTGATTCGTTTTTCTTTAGAGTAGTAAATGTAATATTTGATGTTAGATATTCATCTTTCATTTGTATGAGTAGAGAAGTAAATCCGTTCAAACGTGAGACGAATGCTTAAGATTACGGCTATTTTTCAAGTTAAAAAATCAGTTGTTTATTTTAAAAATATCTTTTGTGTATTCTGAATATAATAAATGATCTTACGGAGAAAAATATTATTTTGTGTATTCGGCCATTTTTGTTTTTTTCGTGAGTTATTTTCTATGATGTTTCGGATGAATAACGACTCGTAACGTTAATATAGCATCCCAAATGTATAGATTTTTACTTAAATTAGAGTATAGTAAAACAATCTATTTAATCTTTTTAATGCTTAAAACATTATAAATTACTATTTTTATCATTAAAAACTGTAAAGTAATGATAAGAACTACGAAAAAATGTACATATTTTATATATTCTATCACTTGATTTAAAGTCGGAATTTAAAATAAAAACGGATTTTTATGAATTTCTGTTAAGTTTTTATTGCTATATTCATGAAGTTTTGCATGAAATTTGGATATTTTTTAGTCTTAGAAGATATTTTTATACGTATTTTATATATTTTTATAACATTTTTTAAGCTATCTTCTTATAAAATAATATAAAACGCATAGTGAAGTTTATATCCTAATAAAAAGTTATATTTTTTTACTATTTCTCCCACCTTACTGATAAAACATAAAAGTAAATTGTGCATATCTAAATAAAACTAGAATAGAAAAAGAAAAATAATGAAGAGTAAGAAAAATAAAATAAAAAATTTCAAATAATTTTTTTTAAGTTGATGGATTATGAATTGGCAAAAATCCAAACAAGATTTCAATTGAATGTATCTTCAATAAAAATCAAATTTTGGTTGTCTCTCTTAGCGGCGCATTTCCTCTTACAGATTTGATGTTATGGATTCCCTTTAAGTAAAAATCAAAATAGAAAAGACGAGAAATTTATCATGCCAATTTTTATGCCTTTTTTTTCGGTTGTTTTGGATAAAAACTGCACATAAAATTAAATTTATCTACTAGCTTAGTAAAATGCTATAAACGAAAATAAATTTTGTTATATTTTTTAAAGAAATTTGTATAAGAAAAAATCATGACGTTGATATCATGTCTCCTGGTTGTTTGGCTTGAAAATATTCAACGAAAATCGTATAAAGTTTGCGTTAAATAATATATTTAAATGTGTATTTTAGCTCTAAATGATTGTTTATGTGATTATTTAATTAAATACTATATAAATTTTAATCGAAAATTACTGATTTTATTTATTATAAATAACTGTTCGTCGAAATTCACATCGATTTTGTGTTGAATAATATATTTTAATATGCATTTTAGCTCAAATAATCGTAAAAACAATCGACTAAATTTTAAAAAAATGTATAAAATAGAAAATATTTCAGTAAAATTTATTTCATTCGTTGTAAAATTCCATAAATATTGCAGAATTTTATGGCGGAGACAGAAAAATGAACAAGTAATGATAAAATTCCGTGATTTAAAAACATTTTTAAAGTAAAATATATTCGATTTTCTAAATCGAAGATAACATTCAAATATCAAGAATTAATTCTATAATTTTAGTATATATTTAATAAATAAAATTAATTAATTTTAAGCATTTTTACTTCTACATAATGCGCTTATATAGTGCTTGAAACTAACATAGAGTAACCAAGGAGGATTAAGAGGCTAAAACCATTTTAAAAATATAATTTTAATTTAAAAAAAAAAGAAAATTTTATTTTAATTTAAATATAATTTTTTTTTTGCTCTAAAAACGATCCATGTTAATAAGATATGTACAGTACAAGTACTATAATTTATTTGTTAACCCCCTAGTCAATTTAATCCCTGGCTACTCCACTGATAACTTACAAGTCTAGAATGAACGTTTCTCTTTAATAAACATCTGGAAGAAAATTAGAAAATATTCAGATACAGTCGAGTTAATATAGAAAATTCGGTAGGAATCACATCACAAAAATTCATCATACTTTAAAAAGGTCACGATTTAGACGATGGAGTAAATGGGAAAGTATCGTGATTGAGGAATATTTTATTAAGGGGAGTGCACCATCGACTTCTTAAACTAAAATTTAATCTTATCAATCCTTTAATCTCAGTTGCGTTGTTGAATCCCGTTTATGATAATGAAGTGCTTTATGACAGAAAAACTCTAGTCACGCTATTTTCCACTCACTCCCGTTCCACGAATATCATCTTTATATTAAAATTCATCTTATATTCGTTGATTAATAATATCAAATTTCCAATTTGTTCGCTCACTTTGATCTAAAAAAAGTAAAAACAATTTTCTTTTCGCACTTTCACTCCCTGTCCTCAAGTTTGAACTAATCTGTTTGAGATTTTCGTGAAAAATTCTTCAAGTTTAAACTAATTAATTAATTATTTTAAAGTAATTTATAAGATAATATTTATTCTTAGACTATATTTAAGTAAATTATTATGATTTTCGTAAGGATGCAAAAGATAAAAATTTTAAAAATTTACATGTTTTATGTGGGAAATATTTATTAAATGTGATTATTTTTAGAATTTTTGAAAACTTCTTTAGAAAATTGTGATTTTTATGGATTTTTTTTAATTTAAAAATTCTTTTTCTTCCAAAAATTTTCTTTCCTTATGAGCTAAAAAATAAATATATAGCTATAAACATTACTTAGCTATAAATATGAGATTTAAAAAATGTTATAAAAATATATAAAATACGAATAAAAATATCTCAAGACTAAAAAACTATCCAAATTTCATGCAAAAATTCATGAATATAGCAATAAAAACTTAACAGAAATTCATAAAAACCCCTTTTTTTCCTAAATTATGACTGTAAATAAAATGATAAAATGCATAAAATGTATATCATCTTCCTTTTTTACATAAAAATTAAGATTTAATAAACTTTTATCATTTAAAAAATAAAGATTCTTTTGAAAAATTGTCTTGTATCAAATGTGATCAAGTCTCTTCTGGAAAGTCCATTCTAATGTAATATGTTATTTTATAAAATTTCTCTTAATAGACGATTTAAAATGTCTTAAATAAATCATTGTTATGTGTCGAATTAAGAATTTAAACATTTATTGGAGTAATTTCATCTATTTCCATTTTTCCAACCAATCAGAGATTAGAAAAGGATTACTTCTCCAACCAAAGATCTAAAGTATATTTTTTAAAAAAGATATTAAACCTTATTGGCTAGAAATATAATCTCTTTATATCACAGAAGTAAAGCGGAAAACTTCCTATATTTAACGAACTTTAAAAGTTTATTTCATATAGACTTTTACAAAATTGATGCCAGAATCTCAACTTTAAAAGAATAATTTTCAAAGATTAATGTATTTACAAGCAATATACACTTTATATTCGCCTTTAATCGATTTTTCATATTTAAGTCCCCAAGTTTGCGGCGCATAAATTAAATTGTGAGTGATAATTTTAGCTATTAATTAAGAATTATTCGAAAGTTGTATCGAAGAAGAGCTTATAATCCAATTTGTGTTCGATAATTAAACTTGGATTACTATTTAATAATAACTAGAAAATTATTGACGCATAAGCAGGGGTAAGTTTCAAAAATGCAAGTATAAGTCTATAAATACTTTAAAATAGCATTTCTTAGAAGATTTTATTGTAGATAGAATCGATT